GTAGCTGTGTTTTTATTGAGGTAATTATTCACATAGTCTGCGTTACTACATGTCAACCTCATTAACACAGCTTTCTATTACAATGTAAAGGGTAGTTATTTGTGCTTTTATAGAGATATTTGACATGAGGAAAATTTTCTTGCTACACTTCAACGCACAGTTTTACCAAAGTTATTAATTGTTAGCATGATTGTTTTGTAGCATACATGGGGTTGTGTTACTTTTCCACGCGCAGTTGCAAAGCTGTGTGTGAAATGTGTGCGTAGTAGCAGATTTATTAGTGGGAAGAAGAAGAACGGGGAGACGCCATTATAAGTGGTGAATGAACTCAGTGATCCAACAAGCACTTTTTGTCATGTAAATTGGCAAAGAGTGGGCCACTGACTCAGACTGAAACGTGGAGAGGGGAGCTGGGAAATGGGGACATTCTTGTCGGGCTTCTTGTCTGAACCCAAAACTTTACCCCTTTCTTTCCAGCTGCCTGCGGTAGGGAGAAAACCAGCTCCATCTATTCTGCAGATGAGTCCAATTCACTACAGGAGCATCGTGTAAACAGTAAGTAATGTCTAAACTCATAATCAGCATGTCTGCATACGCAGGAACCAGCAGTGTATTTGTGGTCCTTGAACGGTTTATTATCAATTTTACCTTTAGTTCCCACTGAGGGTGAATCATGGTAACTGACTGGTATATGTATAACTATGTATGTACATGTATAATTAGCACAAAGCTTCTTTCACATGATCCCTTGCTTGATTGTACAAACGATACAGCAGGTGTGCCACACCTTCCCCTTAAGTCGTTCAACATCTGAAAGGGCTGTTTAGATTGGCATCTCTCCTTCAGCATTAGCCAAAATACAAAAAGTGTTGAATAAGAAGAGTTGTTTCTAACAAGTTTTGTTCCCCTGGAGAGTCAGCCATTGTCTCAAACCAGATCTGGTTGCTAGGAGTGTGGCTCTGTATGTTCAGGCTGCTCAGGTTGTAAAAGGGAAAAGAGATGTTTTCACATTTGAGTTTGAGTCCTTAAATCCCAGATCTGGTCCACGCGTTGGATAAGATGTGTTGCGGAGACAGTAAATGATTGTAAATAACCTTTAACACCTGATGTGAGGTCTGCTGGAGAGCAGAGGAAAAGCCTTTCCAGATAAATACACATAAAATTGCTCAATCGACTCTGCCCCTATCTGGAATTCCTGCTACTTCCTTTTGCAAACTTCATGCAATGCAAGAAATTTATTAAAGAGCAAAAAATTAGACTGAAGCAAAGATTAAAGGGTTAGTTACAGTAAAAGGGCAGAGCGGGGGTTTACTGAGAGCGTTCAACAACAAAACGGTCCAATGATTAATGAGAATCCTGACATCTAAACAAAAAAGCCTGAGGGGCATGGGTTTTGAAGGAATGTAGGCAAGTAAAAGATAATAGTTGAAGTGTTTTAAAGTCCAAAACAGACATCTAATATGTGGGTTCTCATAGAACTCAACCGGAACACAAGCGAGCACACAGCAGCACAAGTGCTTTCCTGTGGAGATCACTCAACACTGCTGCAATATAGTGTTAAAATGGAAATGATTCTCACTCATAGGCTGGATAAACATCACAAGTTCTGGTGGCAGGCGAATTGCTTTTGGGCCGCCCCCTATGCTATAGAACCCGAGTGACTTTGAACGTGGCATAGCTGTTAGGTCAAAAAATGCCTTGTTGATGCCAGAGGTCGGTGGAGACATCTTGAAGTTGGTATGAAAGTGAAAGTAACCAAAGGAACCAGCCAGATGGCCCCGCCCCTCCTTGAGCCTGGTTCTGCCAGAGGTTTCTTCCTGTTAAAAGGGAGTTTTTCCTTCCCACTGTCGCCAAAGTGTTTGCTCATAGGGGGTCATATGATTGCTGGGTTTTTCTCTGTATGTATTATTGTAGGCTCTACCTTACAATATAAACAGCATTGAGGCGGCTGTTATTGTGATTTGGCGCTGTATAAATAAAATTGAATTTTGAACTCATCTCAAACTGGTTTCTTCACCATGAGAATGAGTTGTGTGCTCGGATGGCCTTCACAGCCATCAAGTCAAAAGAAACACAATTTCAATTTGGGACTTTGGCCAACTGGTCCTGATGTTGCTAACCTGTTGCTAACCCAACCAATAATAAATATTAGGGGTGCAACGATACACAAAATTCACGGTTCGGTTCGATACTTTGGTGTCACG